ATAAACTGCTGAAAAGAACAACCTTGTGCATATGTATTGTTATACTGCTAGAAGTGCATCTTTTAAGGTAGGGTTTCCTTGAAGTGCTGGGTCAACAGGTCAATGCACCAGTAGTTTTGTTAAATGTTGCCAAATTCTTCAGAAAGGTTGTATCAGTTTGCATTCACACCAGCAATGCATTAGAATGTGTTTCCTCACAGCCTTGATAACCAGATAACATTGCCATACATTTCCTTTTTTTTTTTCCTTTTTTCTTTTTTTTTTTTTTTTTTTTGAGACGGAGTTTCGCTCTTGTTACCCAGGCTGGAGTGCAATGGCACGATTTCAGCTCACCGCAACCTCCGCCTCCTGGGTTCAGGCAATTCTCCTGCCTCAGCCTCCTGAGTAGCTGGGATTACAGGCACGCACCACCATGCCCAGCTATTTTTTTGTATTTTTAGTAGAGACGTGGTTTCACTATATTGACCAGGATGGTCTCGATCCCTTGACCTTGTGATCCACCTGCCTCAGCCTCCCAAAGTGCTGGGATTACAGGCGTGAGCCACCGTGCCCGGCCTTTTTTTTTTTTTTTTTAAATAGAGTTGGGGTTTCTCCATGTTGGTCAGGCAGGTCTTGAACTCCAGACCTCAGGTGATCCATCTGTCTCGGCCTCCCAAAGTGCTGGGATTACAGGTGTGAGCCACCACGCCTGGCCTATATTTTCATTTTCACCCATCTGATAGTCAAAAAGTGGTACCCTTAAAGGGGAAAAAGTGGTCTATCAGGTTAACTTCACATTTCTCTAATTACATGAGGATGACCATCTCATGTTTAACCACCAAACACGTTACACACACACACACACACACACACACACACACACACACTCTCTCTCTCTCTCTCTCTCTCTCTCTCTCTCTCTATCTCTATCTCTATCTTCTCATCTTTCTTTTTCTTTGGAGATGAAGCCTCTCTCTGTCGCCCAGGCTGGAGTACAGTGGCTCGACCTTGGCTCACTGAAACCTTCGCATACCAGGTTCAAGCAATTCCCTGCCTCAGCCTCCTAAGTAGCTGGGATTACAGGTGCCTGCCACCAGACCTGGGTAATTTTTGTATTTTTAGTAGAGATGGGGTTTCACTGTCTTGGCCAGGCTGGTCTTGTACTCCTGATCTCATGATCCACCTGCTTCGGGCTCCCAAGGTGCTGGGATTACAGGCATGAGCCACCGCGCCCAGCCCAAGTCTTTTCATTTTTCTATCGGGCTTTGGTTCTTCATTTCTCAATTCAAGAGTTCTTTATCTATTACAAATACAGGCCCTTTATCTCTGACATACATTGCAAATATGTTCTTCAATTTGTCAGTTCTCTTTTGACTGTCTGACATTTTGCCAATCTAGCAAGAGCTCTTATAAATTGAGATCAGGGGATGCCTGGAGTTTGCAAATCTTAAACGGTATGCAAACGGTATGTCTGCTTTTCTGAGTGGTTTGCAGTGTTCTGATTTCCAAAGGGTCCTGAGACCTGAGAGTGATTAGGAGCTGCTGCTGCCAGCTGCCCACATCTTCGACTGGCCTGTGCCCCACAGGACCACTCCTGCTAAATGACCTCTAAATTCTTGAAGGTTTCTCTCTTGACTGTTCTTTTTCACAACTCAGACACCCAGTGACCTGTCCTCCAAATGCATATTTTCAGGTTGGGTCATTAGTGAGAATTCTTATCCATGAATGCATTCCTGGTTTTCTATACCTCTCACACACATGACACCAACAGGAAAGTATAATACTCCAGCTGTGGCCTAACCATCACACAATGGAGCATGACCACCACTTCACAGCCCAGATAACACATTTCCCTTAATGATATTAAGAGCAAATTAGCTTTTCCTGGCACGAAGTCAATTCTAATTGACCTGCTAAAACCTGCAGGTCTTCCGTTTCCTGTTTTCCCATAAGTACTTATGTTCCTTTTCACTTGTGGAGATCACTTTTTGAAACCAACTACAAAACATTAACATTTGTATCTATTAAATTCCATTCTGCTTTATACAATTCAAAATGGAATATACCTCTGGTGGAGCTGGGAGGCAGAAAAGGGATGGTTTAAAAAAAGAACAGGGAGGGCTAGGTGTGGTGGCTCATGCCTGTAATCCTAGCACTTTGAGAGGCCGAGGTGGGTGAATCACCTGAGGTCAGGAGTTCGACACCATCCTGGCCAACATGGTGAAACCCTATCTCTACTAAAAAATACAACAGTTAGCTGGGCTTGGTGGTGCACACCTGTAGTCCCAGCTACTTGGGAAGCTGAGGCAGGAGAACTGCTTGAACTGGGGAGGTGGAGGTTGCAGTGAGCCAAGATCTCGCCACTGCACTCCAGCGTGGAGCCTGGTGACGGTGAGACCCTGTCTCAAAAGAAAAAAAAAAAAACAGGGAGATAGTAATCTAGTTCTTAGGTTGGTTGTTACGTAAATGTGCATGTATAAGTCTGCAGATATACATACATATATGCATATGTGTGTTGTATTCATCACACTTTATGTGTTTTTACACATGCTTTTATATAATATTACATTAAGAAACCTTTCTCTCCTGAAGTGGCAGGTCCCTGAATTGGTTAAAAAAAAAAAAAAAAAAAAAGAATCTTTTCTTGTTAGACTCAGCCCATCACATCAAGAAGTAACAACAAAAACTTCGGGATCCTTAGTCTTTTACCTGTTTAATTATATTTTTACTTTTTTTTTTTTTTGTCTTTTTGTTTTTTTTTTCCTTTTTGTGGAGAACGGGGTCTCGCTATATTGCCCAGGCAGGTCTCGAACTCCTGGGCTCAAGCTATCCTCCCGCCTCTGCCTCCCTAAGAGCTGGGATTACAGGCGTGAGCCACAGCGCCCGGCCATATTTTTACTTTCTTTTTTTTTAATTGTATTTTTAAAAGGGCATCACAGCATAAACTCAGATAACATGTTCAAATGTTACTTAGTGCTCGTTCATTCCCAATCATAGTCAATGTATGATGCCCACTAACAACAATTAACTGGCCTTCATCCTGTGTAAAGAAATGATGTAAGTATCAAGAGCGTGATGGGAGCCTACTCCAGGGAGCCCAAAGAACATGAATTTGTTAGTGGGTCTAGAGCAGGGGTTGGCAAACTACAGCCCTCAGGTCAGCAGGCTGTGCTAATAAATAAAATTTTATTGGAATAGACACATTCATTCATTTACGTATCGCCGCTATCCACTTTATGCTACAATAGCAAAGCTGAGTTATTCCAAAAGAGACCATATGTGGCTAGGCCCGGTGGCTCATGCCTGTAATCCCAGCACTTTGAAAGGCTGAGACAGGTGGGTCACAGGTCAGAAGTTCGAGACCAGCCTGGTCAACATATTGAAACCCTATCTCTACTAAAAATACAAAAAATTAGCTGATCATGGTGGCTGGTGCCTGTAATTCCAGCTACTTGGGAGGCTAAGGCAAGAGAATCACTTGATCCCAGGAGGTGGAGGCTGCAGTGAGGTGAGATCACATCACTGCACTCCAGCCCAGCGACAGTGCAAGACTGTCTCCAAAAAAAAAAAAAAAAAAAAAAAAAATGCCGGGCGCGGTGGCTCAAGCCTGTAATCCCAGCACTTTGGGAGGCCGAGGCGGGTGGATCACGAGGTCGAGAGATCGAGACCATCCTGGTCAACATGGTGAAACCCCGTCTCTACTAAAAGTGCAAAAAATTAGCTGGGCATGGTGGCACGTGCCTGTAATCCCAGCTACTCAGGAGGCTGAGGCAGGAGAATTGCCTGAGCCCAGGAGGCGGAGGTTGCGGTGAGCCGAGATCGCGCCATTGCACTCCAGCCTGGGTAATAAGGGCGAAACTCCGTCTCAAAAAAAAAAAAAAAAAAAAAAAAAAAAAGAGACCATATAACCTGCAAAGCCTCAAATATTTACTACATGGCCCCTGATAGAAAAAGTTTTCTGACCCCTGGCTTAGAAAACCATCCAGAGAGTCGGGCGCGGTGGCTCAAGCCTGTGGTCCCAGCACTTTGGGAGGCCGAGGCGGGTGGATCACGAGGTCAAGAGATCGAGACCATCCTGGTCAACATGGTGAAACCCCGACTCTACTAAAAATACAAAACATTAGCTGAGCATGGTAGCGCATGCCTGTAATCCCAGCTACTCAGGAGGCTGAGGCAGGAGAATTGCCTGAACCCAGGAGGCGGAGGTTGCAGTGAGCTGAGATCGCGCCATTGCACTGCAGCCTGGGTAACAACAGTAAAACTCCGTCTCAAAAAAAAAAAAAAAAAAAAAAAAGAATTTGAGACCATCACACTATCACAGCTCACTATTACTCTCAACTAACCCACCTCTCTGGGTACTTCAAGTGCACACTGGCGTGGCACAGTGGTTCAAGCCTGTAATCCCACCATTTTGGGAGGGTCAGGTGGGTGCATAATGAAGCGAGGAGTCCGAGACCAGCCTGGCCAACACAGTAAAACCCATCTTTACTAAAAATGCAAAAAATTAGCTGGGCACGGTGGTTCATGCCGTAATCACAGTTATTTGGGTGGCTGAGGCAGCAGAATCATGTGAACCTGGGAGGCAGAGGTTGCAGTGAGCCAAGATTACACCACTGTAATCTTGCCTGGGTGATAGAATGAAACCCTCTCAAAAAAAAAAAAAAAAAAAAAAAGCCTCCCTTCTGTGATACCTCACTTCAACCTACCAAAATGTAAGGACTGAGTATAGATATCATTTCTTAACATCAAATGCCGAAATACCACATGATTTTCAGATTCAACATTCCATATACAGTTGCTGCTTCAGAGAAATGACACTTTTTTACTAAGCACTTCCTCTCTTCAAGTGTCTGATGTGACACAAATGTTTTAAAAGACCATAAAAAAAAAGGGAACCTCAAAATCAACATTTTGAAAATGTTTGAAGAATAAATCGTAAGCTAACTGTCAGCATCTATATTCTATCAAGAGAAAGCTGTCATTCACCCTCAACTCCTCTGAATCCAGATTTCATTTCTTACCTGACTTGGGCTAATCTTTTCTTCAGTAGCTGTGGAATGTTGATGTGGATCTTCCTTTGTTCCCTCAGAGGGTTCTTTTATAATTTCCGCCTGCCCCCCTTGATCTTTGAAGACCTTTGGCTCCATGCTCTTGCTTCTGTTTGCCCTATCCAAGATCCCAGAAGCCACAGAACCTCCTGCTGTGGAGTCCACTAGCCCATATCGCCCAGGCTCACTCCCATGATCCAAGGTCTCACAGTTTTCTTCACAACAACTCTCCGCATGAGTCCTCTGCAGCTCCAAGGGCAATGTCCTACTCTGACTTAAAAGAGAGCTTGAGGCTCCAGGTTTTACATCTGGAATCACACTTGGCTCAGGGTCAGCATGAAGCTCTTTGGAGACGCTTACTGGGAGTTCAGAGTATAATTCCTGTACCACGGCAGACATGGAGGAATCAAGTGGAACTGGCTGAGTCTCTACTCCAGATGACAGCATTAGGGCAGATGTAGATTATGAATTCAAGCCTTTTACATCAAACGATTCACCCTGACACAAATCAAAGGAAGGGATAAAAGTTTAAAACCTTGATAGGTTAGAAAGGCTGCCTCAGTTCAAACTGGCTACAATGAAGAAAATAAACTCTACTTTAAATGCCAGCATTACTGGCACCAAAAATTTCTCCTTAATAGACTATGAATTTGTAGAAAAATAAATACCTTAAATTTAATACACATCTAACCTTAATTAAAATACTGCCTTATGAACAATTCTCAATTTAAACATGAAGAGCCAGCAAATGTAGATAAGGCGGCTATCTAAAGCATCCAAGGATAGACCTGACGTAAATTAGAAAATCAGGATGGTTTTGTTTGTTTTCATGGGCATGAACCTCACCTGTTTTGTTCACTGCTATATCCCCATGTTATCCCACAGGATTTACTCAGCAAATAATTGTTGAATGAATACATACTGAGGGATTCTGGAAAATTTCATACACAGACTTCTCCTCTTTGAGGGAGGATAGGAAGAAAGTAGAATTTCACTCCTTTACTGCTTACTAAATATTTGAGCTCTCTCTACCTAGGCTTGCATGAGACACCACTAAACCAGCCCTTTTGCAGAATCCTTCCTGAATTTTATCCTGCATCTTGAGATTTTCGAAGTGTTTTCACAGTCATCACTCATTTGGTTCTCACAACAACCCTTTGAGCTAAGCAAGGCAGCTATCAGCTTCTTGTTATACATCCTAACACCACACCTGAGGAGGTTAAATATGACCTGCCTAAAATATTACATGGTTACCTGAGAGGATGGAGGTGGGGGGATATCTAGAGAGAGAACTTCCACTGTGTTGGTAATGTTTCATTTCCTGCATTGAATGGTAGCAACAGGTTATTTGCTGAAACACATATCTAAGCAGTTTGTAACACTATATTATATAAGTAGTCAAATCACACATATACTCAGGATCAGAGTTTCTTGGCTCTTAACTTTTCAGATTTAGTCTATGAAACATGCTGTTTCCACAACAACAAAATCCACTTTGACCATTCGGATTAGTCTGAATGTTTACAGGCCTTGAAATAAATCTTGCCCAAGTGAAGGGCGGCAGGGGGGAATCTGCTTTTGACCTGACCAAGGCAGAAATTGGTTAACCAGATGAGATACTTCATGCTTTCATTTTTGTTTGTTTGTTTTTGTTGAGATAGGTTCCTTGCTCTGTCACCCAGGCTAGAGTACAGTAGTGTAATCATTCCTCACTGAAGCCTCCCTCACCCAGACTCAAGTGATCCTCCTGATTCAGCCTCCTGTAGCTGGGACAGGTACACACCACCACATCTGGCATTTTTTTTTTTTTTTAGACAGAATCTTGCTCTGTCGCCGAGGCTGAAGTGCAGTGGTGTGATCTCGGCTCACTGAAACCTCCACACCCTGGGTTGAAGCACTTCTTCTGCCTCAGCCTCCCAAGCAGCTGGGACTACAGGTGCACGCCACCACACTTGGCTAATTTTTGTGTTTTCAGTACAGACGGGTTTTCACCATCTTGACTAGGCTGGTCTCGAATTCTGACCTCATGATCTGTCCACTTTGGCCTCCCAAAGTGCTGGGATTATAGGCGTGAGCCACAGTGCTCAGTCACACCTGGCTAATTCTTTTTTTGGTGGAGATGAAGTTTTGATATGTTGCCAAAGCTGGTCTCCAAATCCTCAGCTCAAGCAATCCTCTTGCTTTCGCCTCCCAAAGTGGTGGAATTACAGGCAGGAGTCACCATGCCTGTAATGTAGTCAAAACAAACACATACTCAGGACCTTGATACGCCTGTAGTACTTTGATACTCTGTAGCACAAGAGTATCAAGTACTCTTAATTAACCAAGAAAAGATTATTTTTAATGAACCTTCCCAAAGGTAAAAGAATATAACATTGGAGGGGTGGGCGGGAGGAGGGAAGAACATAACAATGTAACACTACCTTAAATACTAGAAATGGTAAGAAATCAGATCGTTGGTCCATGATGTTTAGGTAACACACAAAGACAAATTTAAAAAACTGAACTCGGCCGGGCGCGGTGGCTCAAGCCTGTAATCCCAGCACTTTGGGAGGCCGAGGCGGGTGGATCACGAGGTCGAGAGATCAAGACCATCCTGGTCAACATGGTGAAACCCCGTCTCTACTAAAAATACAAAAAACTAGCTGGGCGTGGTGGTGCGTGCCTGTAATCCCAGCTACTCAGGAGGCTGAGGCAGGAGAATTGCCTGAACCCAGGAGGCGGAGGTTGCGGTGAGCCGAGATCGCGCCATTGCACTCCAGCCTGGGTAACAAGAGCGAAACTCCGTCTCAAAAAAAAAAAAAAAAAAAAAAAAACTGAACTCAAGATATCAGGCTGGGCACAGCAGCTCATGCCTGTAATACCAGCACTTTGGGAGGCTGAGGCAGGTGGATCACTTGAGGTCAGGAGTTCGAAACTAGCCTGGTCAATATGGAGAAACCCTGTCTCTATTAAAAATACCAAAATTAGCCAGGTGTGGTGGCTGGCTCCTGTAATCCCAGCTACTCAGGAGGCTGAGGCAGAAGAATCGCTTGAACCAGGAGGCAGAGGTTGCAGTGAGCCAAGATCGTGCCATTGCTCTCCAGCCTGGGCAACAAAGACAGACTCCATCTCAGAGAAAAACATGAACAAACAACAAAACAAAACAAAACATTACCAAGGAGAGATAAACTGTTTGTATAGGAGAACAAGAATCAAATGAGATTCTGGATGTGAAAGGCTTTCATAAACAGTGCTGTGAGGCTGGGCGTCGAGGCTCATGCTGGTAATTCTAGCACTTTGGGAGGCTGAGGTGGGTGGATCATCTGAGATCAGGAGTTCCGAGACCAATCTGGCTAACATGGTGAAACCCCGTCTCTACTAAAAATACAAAAATTAGCCAGGCATGATGGCGGATGCCTGTAATCCCAGCTACTCAGGTGACGGAAGCAGGAGAATTGCTTGAACCCGGGAGGCAGAGGTTGCAATGAGCTGATTGCGCCACTGCACTCCAGCCTGGGAGACAGAGCAAGACTCTGTTCTCAAAAACAGGGCTGAGGCCGGGCACGGTGGCTCAAGCCTGTAATCCCAGCACTTTGGGAGGCCGAGGTGGGTGGATCACGAGGTCAAGAGATTGAGACAATCCTGGTCAACATGGTAAAACCCTGTCTCTACTAAAAATACAAAAAAAATTAGCTGGGCATGGGGGCACGTGCCTGTAATCCCAGCTACTCAGGAAGCTGAGGCAGGAGAATTGCTTGAACCCAGGAGGCGGAGGTTGTGGTGAGCCGAGATTGCGCCATTGCACTCCAGCCTGGGTAACAAGAGCGAAACTCTGTCTCAAAAAAAAAAAAAAAAAAAAAAAAAAAAAAAAAAAAAACACCAGTTCTGAGAGACATGCATCCCTTTTAGATCTAGAATCTTTCCCTTTCTCCTTTAGCTCCAGATAGAGAAAGATATTTCTAGGGGCACTTCAGATTTTAGGCCGTGCACACATGTGTGTGAGTGTGTGTGTGCGCGCACGTGTGTAAGGTAGGGGATGGGGGAAGTTAACAGAGATAATGAGGAATTGCTATTTGATGCCAAGTAGGAAGTGCTCAGTTTTAATTTGCGTCAGCTTTCCTTTCCCAACAACATACATTGTCCAGATTTCAGCTGTCACACCACATACAGATTTGAAGAGTAAATGCAGGAAAGGATACTGTATAAGAGAAGATTTGTTTAAGGAGATGGACGCCTTTGGTCTCTGCCACCTTATGCATCTGGCCCTGAGTACCACAGAAATAAGGGAGTTCTTAAAACTTAATCCTTGACTCCTCCCTTTTTAAACTCCACTTTCTTGATAACCTCACCTTTTTCTGCAGCCTCTGTGATGAAGATGACTCAAAACTCTTCCTTTTTATTATTATTATTTTTTGAGACAGAGGTTTGCTCTGTTGGCCAGGCTGGAGCTCAGTGGTGTGATCTCGGCTCACTGCAACCTCTGCCTCTGGGTTCAAGTGATTCTCCTGCCTCAGCCTCCTGAGTAGCTGGGATTACAGGCATATGCCACAACACTTGGCTAATTTTTGAATTTTTAGTAGAGATGGGGTTCCACCATGTTGGACAGGCTGGTCTCAAACTCCTAACCTCAAGTAATCCACCTGCCTTGGCCTCCCAAAGTGCTAGAATTACAGGCATGAGCCACAGGCGTGAGCGACTGCACCTGGCCTAAAAGTCTTCCTTTAAGCACAGAGTTACCACAGGACTCAGCAATTCCCCTCATAGGTTTATATGCACAAAACAAATGTCCACATAAAAATTTGTAAACAAATGTCCTTGACAGCACTACTCACAGTAGTAAAAAAGTAGAAACAGGGCCGGGCGCGGTGGCTGAAGCCTGTAATCCCAGCACTTTGGGAGGCCAAGGCGGGTGGATCACGAGGTCAAGAGATCGAGACCATCCTGGTCAACATGGTGAAACCCCATCTGAATAAAAATACAAAAAATTAGCTGGGCATGGTGGTGCGTGCCTGTAGTCCGAGCTACTCATGAGGCTGAGGCAGGAGAACTGCCTGAACCCAGGAGGCGGAGGTTGCAGTGAGCCGAGATCGCGCTACTGCACCCCAGCCTGGGTAACAAGAGCAAAACTCTATCTCAAAAAAAAAAAAAAAAAAAAGAAGTAGAAACAACCCAAATATCCATCAACTGATGAATGGATGAACAAAATGTGGTATAGCCATACAGTAAAATATTATTCAGCCATAAAAAGGAATGGAGAACTAATACGTGTGTAAGAGCAAGAATGAAGCTTGAAGACATGCTAAGTGAAAGCCAGTCACAGAAGATCACATATTACAAGAACCCATTTACAGGAATGTCAAGAACAGGGAAATCTTACTATGAACCCAGCTACTAAGTGGGGAGAATCACCTGAGCCCAGGAGTTCAAGATGAGCCTGGGCAATACAGTGAGATTTGGTGCCCCACCCCCCGCCGCCAGCACACACAAAAAAAAGGTAAAAAGAAAGGAAACGCCAG